AGGTCGTGAAGATGTCTATGGGAAAAAAAATTTTATAGGTATGGATTCAATATTAATCTAATACTCAACTAATACACCACTGGTAACAATTGGAATTTAACCTAAGTACCCAACCATGAGTTTCCATCTCAAAGAATTTCAGAAGCTTAATTGTGCTTTCTTTCAAAAATTGGGACCCCAAGTTTAATTTTTTATAAAACAATTCAAATATGGCTTAATTAAGTCTAAAACAAAGTAAAAATAAGCATAGAAACATGGGATGCTATTTAGTAGTCAAAAATCCTCAAAAACCATTGAAAAATATTGAGTAGGAGAAATGATAGAGGGGCATATTGTAGCTTGTTCCTCCTTGTGCCAAGTTGCAAGCACCATGTGCCGTTATGTGCTGCATAGAATTTAACAACACAATGCTATCACATATAGCATATAGGGAGAACTTTTGACGAACCTCATTTCTTCATCTAACATTTGATCAAAGTGATATGGGTGCTCACAAAAAGCTCTTTAAGTTATCTAACTAATGATACAGATCTTACCTTTAAAACATTTCACACAAAGGAGCTAGATACCCTAACACAATTTTCTCGCTTTCATACACTTATTCACAACAAAGGCATCCAAGACTCATCACATGTGTCAAAAGTTATCACCAACACCTAACCCATACTCAATGGACTTAAGATTACTTATGCAACATACCATGATCACAATATAACACTTAAATCCCTATTTCAACTCTCAACCCTTTAATATTGAAAACAGAAGGGGGATCTAACATTGCAATAAAATCATAATATCTATATTTATGTATCATTTACATACTTACACTATTAATTTGGCCTCATAACACATATCTCGTACATATGAAATAACCCATGGTGCAAAATACACCAGCATGTCATTTAAATAACTTAGTGTAAGTATAACAAAATAATGTAGTCTTAATTGGCAAATATCATCATAAATTACATATAAATTTAAATAGAGAGAGGATATACACTAGGAATGTCAAATTCCTGAGCCTTGAAAGCTTTCCTTTTTTTGACATCCGAGTTAAAACCTGTAAAATGTTTAAAAAGAGGGGTGAGTACAACTATTTAATAATCATGATACGTCATCATATGCAATTACTTATTAATTGACAATTTAACATGTGCAAATGCTTATGAATACATACATTTCTGAACTCGTAAGGAACTCACATTTTACCACATGAACATTCAAGCAATCACGTTATCATTTTCAAAAATAATCTCACAATAGACTCTACTATAATAACAACCATGTGATAATAGCAAATGTAAATATAACAACTTATAACAAACTAAGCAGCTATATGATACGTTGAATAAGAATGTATGATCTGACCATCTTTAAATCCTCCTTACACCATCTGATTGAAACCGTGGGCTACAATTCAATTAGGGTTTCGTTCATGTGAATGAACCACCTAGGTTCACCGATCATAAAGAGTGATGCGGCTAAAAATCACTACACTCACTCTTAGACCACAACTTCCTACATTCTTAAATTCTTGAGGTGTCGTAAACCCTAGACAATCTCCTTGACAAGCTAGTAAAATTAGCTAAGTTCGAGTTCCTTAACAGATAACGAGACAGTCCCTCAACAAATAGTGGAATAAGGCTACCCCTCTATTCCAACTACTGGCAGCTATTACCATATAGATTTTATCTATTCCTCTCCCTAAGAAAACTCCCATAAAAAATGATCATGCTATGAATTATTCTCACTCATTTCACATATTCACGTATACAAATACAAGCTCATTGAATTCATACAATAAGCTATCACATGTAAGCATAAATTATCTTTACTTATCATACATAACTTCTACTCTCAATCTCATATACTTGTATCACATTTGCATAATCTCCACTTTACTCGTATAATGCATTTAAGCTAGTAAATCAACACAATCATCTCATCAATTTGTCAGCTTCTTGCTTCAAAATGTAATCACAATGTTTCAAATATTTCAAATTTATACATCAAATTCATAACCAGATGGGTTAATCAAATCTTACGTATTTTGCATGTATTGACGATAATGTAATTCAATCATTCATGTCAAATCTTTATCTTTTCCAAAAGCACAAATTAATTAACAAATAACTATAAATAAAAATTTTCTTCAGTTATCTCAAACTTTTAAGCGGTCAAAGGTTTAGCTCTCAAACCAATGCTTTTCAAAGCTTACTCTTAAGCCAAATAGGTGCACGGATAATTAATTTATAAGTATGCATGTTCAAGCTCATCATTGTCACCATTTACACAACTTAAATTTTCTATTTCCAACACTTCAACAACCTTAGATTCACTTTTGTAAATACTCATATTCATTAGGCCTATTAACTCCTACTAATCTCATTAACTTAAATAGGACTATTAATAACTGTCATTATTACCCAACAATCATATTTATAGCTCTCAAACTACTATTTTAGTCCATAATGATGAGCCCATGCTTAATGATACATAAAACCATTAATATTATGTTTAAATAATTTAAAAAGCTCCTATTGACTTTATTTAAGCTAATGGGTTTGTACCCATAATTTTCATGGATCAAAAATCACTCATAATTAACGAACCCTAACTTTAGAACTTCTAAAAAGTGAAAGAGGAAACAAGAAAGGAGCTTATGAAACTTACCTTTTATGTTTGCTAACCTCATAATGCTTAAAAATCCTCCAATAAGCAAACCCTAGTGGAGCTCTCAAGCCTTCTTTGTCCTTCTCGTCTAGTTTTTTTTTTTCTTATCTCTTTTTTTTCGTGTCTGAGCATTATCCTATCACTATCAAAATTTGGCTATGCATCATGACACTTGACACATGCACCACAGCATGTGGCATAGAGAGGGTTCCTTCACATTTTTTGGCCTATTACACCATGGCACATGACTTACACATCATAATATCTGGCACAAAGTTATTCTTCCTTGTTTTTCTCTCCTTTAAGGTCCAAGTAACTCAACCTTACTCCGAACCCAAATTTAAGGCTAAAATCATAACCTAAAACATTCATTAGTCATCTCTGACCACACACATCGTACTAATTTTACTTGATCACCTTTGATAGTTTGATTAAACGGAAAGTAAATTTTTAAGATGTTACATTGCAATAGGTAATGATAATATTTTTCATCAGACATGATTTGATGGCTTATTTTAAGGTTAAGTGATAAACTTGCCCATAAATTACATGTTTAACACTAAAACTCATTTTTAATATAACCTTCCTCTTCAACATTTCAAAACAGCATAACATTGCACTACCATTAACAAATATTAATTTCAATAGTTAGTTGACAAAAAATAAAAAAAATGATAAAAAATTGATTAACTATCAAAATTAACTTTTTGTAAACAACAGAAGCAACATTGTACTATGTTTAAAAGTTGAAGAGAAATATTATACAATAAATGAATTTAAGTTTCAAAAGTTAAAGAGAAACATTATACAATAAATGAATTCAGGGTTATAGACGTTACCTAGACTATAGTTTAAGGGTAAAATTGCCCTTTAATCTCATTTTATAAATTTAATTTTGTCATTAAGTTGCATAAATATATAAAATTTAAGAAAACATACTATTTAACACTTGCTTCATTCAGATTACAATACAAGTCATTGCCAACTAATTTACATTTCTCAAAATAAGTTGGTTAAAACATTGATTCTCTAAATTTTTTCATTCATGTCATTGAGTGTAATAAATATAGCATTTAGCTTATTCAAAACATTATCATTAACTATCTAATGAATTAATGGTGTAATTGAAAAAATATAACACATACACAATGTCATATATTTTAAACCAAATAAATTTTTTTAAAAATAACTTATAATGTAATTTAGAGGGAGTTTAATTTAGAACTCTCCCCAAACCTCCTTAAAAATAAGAGAAGAAGAGAAAGAAAAAAAAAAAGAGTGAGCTTCCACAAGGAGCGCTTATATATATACATATACTTTTTTAATATATGTACGAATTTTTATGAAATTTTTCATTTTCAATACTTTCTTTCTTATTTTATAATTTTTTATAAAATATAAGATCTTCTCTTTCTTCTTCTCAAAAACAAACTGCACGGAAACTTACACGGATCAATCCAAAGGCGGGCCACAAACTTTGGTGCCACGTGGCGTTTTCCATTCCACGCTTCCTACGCTCGATATTTTTCTCGAGTCTCTTTCCCTGTGGCAACTTGGCTTCTTCCTCTCCTATTTAATTTATAAAATTTTTAAATTGACGTAAAATACTCATCTATTTTAAATTATAAAATATTTTTAAATAAAATCTTACCTATCAATAAAACTCATTAATATACTTTACAATCTCATTTTTAAAATAAAAATATAAATTTTTAAAAATATTCTTCATTTAATATTTTATTAATAAAATAATATTGAAAAGAGAAATATATGAAAAATGTAATATCAAAAAATATCATCAATGAAATCTCATTTTCATTAAAATATTTTATATTTTATGATGTTAATTTTTTTTAACAATATTTTATAATTTGAGACAAAAAGAATAATTTATACAGTATTTTCAATTTAAGACTACAATTAAAATATCAATATATCATTGATGAAAAAAAACGTATTTATAATAACATTGACATGTATTATAAAATTTTGAACAAAATAATGACCACGAATATTTTTATAAAAGTCTTTAATACATGAAAAGCATGTTAATTTACATATATTAAAGCATAAATTGTTACCATCTTAATTAAATGATTTGAAATTAAAATTAAAATTAATATAAAATCCCAACATAAGAATGGGGGAAAAGAACCGGAGGGAAGCCAAATTTGCAATCGCGGGGAAACCGCGAGAGTTTGACTGTTCCTTCAAGCAAGTGAACTGCGCGGTAATTAACGGCGGCGTTGGGAATTTGGACAATTTGGAAACGCCGTTTGAAATTTGGATAATTTAGAAGTTTTCTACGGCACAGTTTCCTTTTTTCTTGCCACAAATTAGTGATTGCTTATTTGGCCAACCAAAAAAGAAAAACGGTGATTGCTCGGTCCTCCCATACAAAGCAGTGACTTGGTTCATTGAGCCGGGAGAGACCAAAGAGATGTCAAGGGGGACAATGGCGGTTTCGGGGTTGAGAGTGGGCCGTTTTCCGTTATTGTTGCATCATCATCACTTATCATCAACCTTCAGGAAGCTTAACGTCCCCTCAAAGGCAAAGGGGTTCACTCTATATTCTCGCTATGCACAAGCTCAGGATCTGTTCTCGTCTCGTCGTTTACAAGGTTTTTTTCTAATTGGATTCTGGGTGTGGGTTACCATGTAAACCTCTATTTATATACAAAAAAATTCTCCTAATTGGGCTTCAAATTACGGAGGTTTTCCTATATCTTGGCTGGTATCTGCTACTGGCTTTCGAAACTACGTTATTCCTCCACCTGTGACACTTTTGATTTGAATTATACAGTAGAAGGTTATACTAACGTTAGTTTCAACCAATCCTAATATAATCGACACTGCCGAAATGTCTGGACGTGGCCAGATCATCAAGCTGCACGGTGTTGATGGGTTAGATACTAGAGAACTTCATGTAGAGCATACCCAAAGATCTAATCTTACCATTGTCGCTGCTTCGTTAGCTCTTCTTTTAATTTTTCCGCGGGCCATAATATTATTATGCTGTATGGTCTGAGTTGACATCTGTAAATTGTGTCTTTACCTCAGAGAGTATTGAAAACCTGCCGAAACTGGTGGAAGACATTGTCCAGACATCTATCAATACCGGTCCTCGTGGTGTGGTTAGGCTGGCTCAAGGTGTTCAAGCATTTATTGGGGTCGGTCAAGAGTGGTTAACAGATGCATCAAAGGTAACCCAATATGTTTGTTTTGTAGGCATATCCTGCAATGTAGTCTGTTATTCTGTTTTCCCTAAAGATCTAGAGGCAATGATATTGCTTTTTGTACATTTTACCATGCATCATTTGGCATCCTGATAGTGGATTTTATTTCTTTAAGCTGTCCATTAGTAATATGTTTGTAGAAGTCAACTGCAAAAATCTGATTTTCTTACTTTTAGTTTTAGCTGTAGTAAGTCAGACTCATGCCTTGAATGGATTTTTTACTTGTCATCATACCATTCCAATGGAGGAGGATATTTTGTTGAACCAAAAATTCTTGGAAAGATATTTGTGGGCAGAAAATTACTAGCTTATAATAGTGAATTCAGACATATCCCCCCCTTCCCCCCCCCCCCAAAAAAAATACTTTTATTTGTCTCCTAATAGACTGAACTGTTAATTTTCTGGCATCATCTGTAGTCAACAAATTCATCTGCTGGGTTACCAACTGAACTGCAGCTTGGTTTACTTTCCCCATTCTATTTGAGGAGACTGTTTGAACGTATGGGGGCAACCTACATTAAATTAGGTCAGGTATGGATTAACAACCTCCCCTTCCCTGTGGGTTCTCTGCCTGGGTTGTGTTTGTTTATGTTATGTCCATTTGATCACAATGATTATGCATGTTTTTTTTTTTTTTTAAGTCTAAAAAGTGTAATAGATGATTGTTAGGGTGGGTAAAGAATGATGCAAAAAGGCTTTTATGATCATTTGATATGTATATTCTTTCAATTACCTCTTTAAAAGTTCTTTCACTTTTATGCTGGCCTTCATACTATGAGCTTTTATACTAATGGCTATTTTTGGCTTCCATTTTGTAGTTCATAGCATCAGCACCCACACTGTTTCCTCCTGAGTATGTACAGGAATTTCAGAATTGCTTTGACAGAACTCCTCCTGTTCCTTTTGAGGAGATACAATCAATATTGCGTGAGGAACTGGGAAGACCAATTGATAGTGTTTATGATTATGTTGATCCAACACCCCTTGCTTCTGCCTCCGTAGCACAGGTGTATAGCATGTATCCATCTTTAACTACCTAGATATTTTCATACTTTTATTGCTGCTAATACAATTTTTGATAATGACATCTAGGTTCATGGTGCAAGGCTAAAGGGCTCCCTGGAGGATGTGGTTATAAAGGTCTTAAAACCTGGAATAGAGGACATATTAGTGGCAGATCTTAATTTTGTTTATGTAGTTGCTCGGATATTGGAGTTCTTGAATCCTGAACTAAGCCGGACATCACTGGTATAAACAATTGGGCAGTTCTTCTGGATTGTCTGCTGTTGCTTTATATGTGCATGTTTTTCTGTTTGTATATTTATTTTTATAATTTTAAGTATTCTCTTGAGCAACACTGAAGTAAATTCTGAAATCTTTAATAAGCTGCCTGTTTGTCATTCTTGTTGCTTTCTCCGACTTCATTGTCTTTTAAATGGAAGGGGACTTGGAAGTTTTACTCTTTGCCTTTTTAAGTCACTACTGTTTTCATCTATGGGCTATAAATCCCTTGTAATGTAATCATCCTTTCAGTAGGTTGGTATTGTCAAAGACATACGGGAGTCTATGCTTGAAGAGGTTGACTTTTACAAGGAGGCTGAAAATGTTGAAGCTTTCAGGAGATACTTGGAAGCTATGGCACTCACTGGCCAGGCAACAGCTCCAAAAGTGTATCGAAACTGCAGTACTCGGCGAGTTTTAACTATGCAGAGACTTTATGGAGTTCCACTGACTGACCTTGACTCCATAAGTTCACTAGTTTCAAATCCAGAAGCCAGCCTCATAACTGCTCTTAATGTTTGGTATAACACCAAATTTCTATTTGCAACAAATATGTATTGTTTTCTTCATTTTATCAACATTAAAATTTATGCGCGTCTCTTGATACAAAATTTCATCTCTTGGTAAATAATGATTTAATAGGTTTGGAAGTTTGCTTGCATGTGAGTCCTTCCATGCAGATGTTCATGCAGGCAATCTGTGGCTTCTTCGTGATGGCCGTATCGGGTTTCTTGACTTTGGTATGCATTATCTCTTCTGTGCATGATTTACGTTTGCCTATACTTTAGCTCCTTCTTATAGGAGAGTTTATTTGCCATCTGTTAAATTAATAAACGTGTCAATGTGGTCTATACGTTCTATGTGAAATTTAAAATTTTCGAGTTTCTAGATGTCTTTAATTAAATAATACTGTGTTTCATCACTATAACTTATTATTAGTCTTCCAAGTTGCAGTTATGCTAACTTGAGTCATAACTAGTATGCTGTGATCATTGAACTGGCCCAATGCTTTAGCTTCCGAAGTCCAGATCCTTGAAACATATGGGCCTTACTTTGGAAAAGCATGATTCAAAGGTATTAATGAACGTTGTAAGTTAAATGATAAGAGTGAAAATGGACAGGCATGAAATTGTTATTTGTCCGCTAAATTATTTGAAATTTTCGAGGTGAATATCAAATGCAAGAAATTATCAGTTGTCTTTTAAAGCAATAAAGAGATATGGGCTTTGGGTTTCATGCAAGAGATATCAGTGTGTAATCCAAATAATATTTCGTTGTATTTTATCATATGGCAAACAAAGGCTAGGTAGTATTTATTACATGCAAATTTTCTAGATAGAAGCTCGCATTAGTCTTTGTCATTATCTCTGTTTAAATGCTCTCTTACCTTGCCCATATCAACTACTAAGAAAACTGGTTATATTTTGAGTGTTTGATGGTTATATCATCCTTTTGGTTATTGCTTCCACACAATTCCCTTGGAAACAAACAAGATAAACTTTTGCTTCAATTTAAAGGAATTGTTGGGCGTATATCTCCCAAAACATGGGCTGCTATGGAAGTATTCTTGGGATCCATTGCCATTGAAGATTATGACTCAATGGCGTCTGCGTTGATTGAAATGGGTGCTACAAACAAAGATATTAATGCTAGAGCCTTTGCCAGAGATTTGGAAAAAGTGTTCTCAACAATTAAGGTAAGCACTGTAACTCATTATGAATGATGTGTGTTCCACAGGCTGGTATGCATGCAAAAGTACCCTGCTTACCTGGAAAATGCATGTTGGTGACATCCTGATTTCCCTTGTGCTTACATAATTAACTAATACATCTGTCTTTTCCTCGGTCTATATTTTTCAGTCTATTCTTTTTATTATTCTGATGCATATTTTAACAAGTGACTGTGATTTTTCAAATTATTAGGAATTAATGGGAAACTAGTAGAGAAATAACAAAGGATAATTCTTTCTGCAGGATGCTCATCTATTAGTTGTGCTATGATGTCAGAGATTTGTATGCCTGTGAAAGCATTCATGCATCCTTGTGCATAAAGAACAATTTAATGTTTGGTTATGATAAATTAGGTCTGACCAATTTGGGTTAGTATAGATGGTATCCTTTGCATTATTGTTATTTGTAGACAAAGAACTTCATCCAGAAAAGTCTTCTTCCTTCTGCTTTGGACATGAATTTTCATCATTTAGTCATTGATTATCAAAACCATGCAGATAACTTAGCCCAGACCTGGTTTGATGTCGTTGCTTGCGTTAACGTATGTGCAGGATTTGGACACTGAAATAGTTGTGGCAACTAGAAGTGGATCAAGTACAACTGCAACTGCTGTCTCTGCTAATATTGTAGTCGATGAGAGGCAGATGAATGCTCTCTTCCTTGATGTGGTAAGCTTTTAGTTTGGACCCCTTTAACTTGTAAGTAGGTATCAATAGGTCCAGAAGGCTCTGACATTTGATAGGCATATGGTAGAACATCTGTCACTTGCTAAGCTCTAGAATTATAATGCACGGAGTACAATTTTTCGCACTGCCCCCCTGATTTGATGGATTCCTACGCGACTTTTGAATTGTCAGAACATGAGAAATTGCCAGATTAATGTCGGACGAACAAATTCCATCATTCCATAGTTGAAAGCAAATTGTGCATAAATATGATCATGATCATAATCCAATGTCTATATACTGTGAACCATATCCAATGATCAATATCTTGTGTAGGCAACTGGCAGTTTGATTATGTTAGTCCCTGATATTACTCTGCTCTCTAACCGGTTTGCAGGTTCAGGTAAGTGAATCGTATGGACTTAAGTTCCCTCGCGAATTTGCACTGCTCCTGAAGCAGCTCTTGTATTTTGATCGGTATACACGGTTGTTGGCTCCCAATTTGAATATGCTTCAGGATCAGAGGATTAGAATCGCCTCCAATAGAAGAAGCAAATATAGAGATAGTTTCGAATGATATTATACGAGAAACTCTATGTACCCCTTATCAGGCGGAAAGCTTTGACCGTATTGTTACTATTGTACATAAGCAAAGTGTCTTAGTTGGTAGTTAACTACTTGATTGGAACACTAGAAAAATCTGGAAATTCAACACTAGCTTAACTCTTACTCATTGGATGATACCGAGTTGGGTTACAAGTTGGAACTGCTCCCTGCAAAAGTTATGATTAGGGAAAGAAAAAAAAAATGATATTATAAACTTTGTCTTAGCAAGCATCTACAAATTGTGTTACTTACTTGATAAGATCGACTATTCTTATTCTATATGCCGTGCTGGTGTTTATGTTTCCTGCAAACTTAATGCGAATGAAAGGAAACTTGTGTGGCGGCTTTTTGGTTGCAAAAAACGGAATCATGATCCAAATCACGTCAATGACCAGTAGAAGCACAGCTCTTACGAGCCCGAAGCTGCCATAATTCTAAAAATTAGAAGCAATAATAATTTCACACTTATGCGGAGTTATACGATGGTGGACTGCGTGATTGAGATTATCTTGATTTGCGCGCACATAGTCCAATAGATGCACGGTCGTCTTGTAGGTCATATATTAGTGCATCTTACACTGATGAGAAATTTCCCGTTCTCAATGTATGCCGGTTTACTTCTGATCCACCAAAGACAAAAGAAATAGCGTTGACTCATGCTCGGCCCTTGACCCGCCTGTCACGATGGTTCCTGAGAACTGTAACTATTTAGCACCATTTCCCGCATGGTTTTGTTCATTGACCATGATGTTACATGCACCTGATGATTTTTTTCCTCCTATCACATGACTTAACGAGGTATACCCCATCAGTTGATGAAGCGGTGAACTTCTTGCTGGTGGAAGTGGGCGAGCATCCATTTGTGATGATGCTTTTTTGGGCACGAACACATCGGAGATAAGTCCAGCCGATCCAGTTGCTCCTATAGGAATCTCGGTTGAACTAGAATGTGTTGAAGCAATCTTCTCTTTCTCTGCTATAGCCTCAGACATCCCTCCAGAGACACTGATCTTGTCCAAAGCCATGCAAAGAATGAAAGGCTGTCAGGGAACCAGGATCTTCAGAGGAGCAGCTTTTAGAAGCAGAAAGTCCATAATTATCTGAATATGAAACAGTGTCCGCTGGTGAAGAATTGTAACGGCTGGCACCGGAGTCTGAAGGCCGATTACTTCCACCAACCACCTTCGTTTGGTCATCAAGCTCGCCTGACGCATATGAAACCATATGACTTCCGTTCATCAGTGAAAATTTGAGCACCTCTGAACAAGAACCACACTTCAGCTTATGATACACCCTTTTGAAACGAAGAAAATCGGCAGGCAGCTGCAATAGCCTGAAGCAGTGATGACAGGTGGCAAAAGGGGCCCCACCTGCCGCTGGGCGGACATGTCGGCTAGCCAAATTCTGTTTCTCCTTGTGATATTTCTTTGCCACATAAACTGATTCCTCTGATCATCAGATTTTGTTTCACAGCGGTATAATGAGGTTTTAGAGTTCAAGGCCCATTGTGGATTCAAAGGATGAGAGCAATAAGGGGAGCAACAATTGTGACCATGACAATACTCGTACGGTCCTTCATTCTGGCAGACATGTGGAAGCAGCCCTGCTGGGCATTGCCACTCTTGGGGGAAGCAGTGAAAACAAGAAAAATCAACATGGTGTGTACTGCTTGTTGCCTCAGCTGAACCAGGATTCAGTGAAAGTTTATGCCTTTGGCACCAATTTGCTCCGTGATTGCATCTACCATAGCACTTTGGGTAATCAAGAGCCCCAAAAAATCTTTCCTCTTGAAAATCATGGCTGTGGTATGACAAAGTATGCTTTCCTTTATAAGTGATAGAGGATAGTCTTCCACTTGTCTCGCCATTTACAGGGCTAGTTCTTTTGAGTTGATCCTGCAATATGTGTATCATTCTTAGCAATTTCATCTTCTCCTGGTCAGGGTCCTCGAGAGTGTCAGATGGAAGAAAGGTTGAGCTGCGGTATAGCTCATCTAGTAATTGATTTGATGGGGTACCACTTTCATAGACAGATTGAGAACCACCATAGTAATAAGGCATTTTGGATGAAAACTCCCTACTCTCTACCGCTTTCATGATATGATGATTTTCACTGGGAAAATCTGATGAAAAATTCAAATCTCCACATATCATGCTATCAACGAGGAGTTTTGCCATTCTAGGCCATTCATCAGAAACATCATCATCAACACTGTTGGTGTTGTCCAAAGGATTTAAATGTTGGTAACAAGGGATATGGTGGTCCATCCCATCATCAGAAGAGACACTACCATAATAAGCATGAGAGCTTCTAGTGGCTGGGGAATTGGACAATTCTCCAAGAGTATCACTAAATTCCGAACTCAGGTTAATTACTTCTGTGGCATCAGATTTGTCCATGGACCTTACGCGTTCAAAGCTGAGAATAATACTATCATGTGCTTGCTTCAACTGTTCAGTATAAGATAATATATGATTATCTAATGTAGCATGACCTTTACCGATACAAGCAGTAATTACAGAAATGCTCGTTTTTTCAGAGGCTACGTTTGCAGTAGTTGAGATTTTGGAGGTAGAGACTCTTTCAGTGTTGTTCACTGTTGATTTTGCACCTCCTGGAGCTGATTTGTCATCTTCTATATTTTCTTCACGTGATGTAGAATATAACTCAACTCCGCCTATGTTTATAGCCGGTCCCAAGCCCGGGTAAAGGAGGAGGGTTGTGTTAGGCCATCAACAGCCAATGTAAAACTTTGTTGAATCTATCATGAACATGGACAATAGACGTTATAATGTTAATGCTAGGTCGTTGCCCGTAAGTAACGCGCTGCATGGCTCGAGTACAGTGATAAGTGAGTTAGAGCCGCTGCATCGGCGCCCGGATGTAGTGTTAAATGAGCAAGGGCTACCGCGTCATTCTGGACGCGCGCGGCTAAAGAAGTTAGTCCATAAGAGCAAAATTAGATTTGGTACTTGGAATGTTGGGACATTAAATTGTAAATCTTTAGAGGTTGTAGGGGTTATGATTCAAAAGGAAAATCAATATCCTTTGCCTGCAAGAAACAAAATGGCGTGGAGAAGAAGCTAAGGATATTGAAGGTTTCAAACTTTGGTATACAGGAAAAGTAAGTGTACGCAATGGAGTAGGCATCATTATAGATAAGGAGTGGAAGAAGAACGTTGTAGAAGTTAGCAGAATCGGAGACAGAATTATTTCCTTAAAAATGATAATTGGACGTGAGACTGTTAATATTGTTAGCGCTTATGCGCCGCAAGTCGGGACAGAAGCCAGTCTTAAGGAATTATTTTGGGAGGATCTAGAGGGGTTGATTCGACATATACCACAGAGTGAAAAAATTTTTATTGGAGGAGACTTTAATGGGCATGTTGGGAGGGAAGCTGGTCAGTATGCGAGGGTGCATGGTGGTTTTGGTTTTGGAGAGCTAAACAATGAAGGACAAACTCTTCTTGATTTCTCATTGGCGTATGATTTTAAGATTGCCAACACTTGTTTCAAGAAGAGAGATGAGCATCTCATCACTTACAAAAGTAGAGCCTCAAGGTCACAGATTGATTTTCTTTTGGTTAGGAACACAGATAGAAGACTTTGTAAAAATTGTAAGGTGATCCCCGGAGATGCTGTTACGACACAACATAGGGTCCTAGTCCTTGATGTGTGTATTATGAGTAAAATTCAAAAACGTCGACAAGTAGTAACAACAAGGATTAGGTGGTGGCAATTAAAAGGTGAGAAGCAAGATATTTTCAAGCGAAATCTTTTGGATAAAGGAATTTGGGAATCTCAGGGAAGTGCTAACATCATATGGGAGGATATGGCTAAAAAGATACGGGAGGTTGCAAAAGTAGTTTTGGGAGAATCGAAAGGTTCTGGTCCGAGAGATAAGGAGTCTTGGTGGTGGAATAATAGTGTACAGGACAAAATCAAGTATAAGAAGAACTGTTTTAAAGCCATACATTTGTGTAACAATGAGAAAATTGGGAAAGGTACCGTATGGCTAAGAAGGAAACTAAGAGAGCTGTGGGTGAAGCTCGTTCTAAAGCTTTTGAAGAATTTTATAAGAACCTTGAGACGAAGGAAGGAGAGCAAAATATTTATAAGATTTCCAAGAGTAGGGAAAGAAAATCAAGAGATCTAGAACAGGTAAGGTGTATTAAGGATGAAGAGGGAAGAATTTTAGTTACAGATGATGAAATTAAAAATAGATGGGAGACTTACTTTTCTAAACTTTTCAATGATGGAGAGGATTCACCTAGTAACTTGGAGAATTTAGTAACTAGTGAAGGAGAACAAAATTTGTCATTCTATCGAATAATACGTGATAAGGAGGTAAAGGAAGCTCTTAAGAAAATGGCAAATGGTAGAGCCAACGGACCTGATTGTATATCTATCGAAGCGTGGAAATGTTTAGGTGAAGAAGGGGTGAGATGGTTAACTAAGTTATTTAATGTGATTTTACGGTCCAAGAAAATGCCTGATGAGTGGAGGAGAAGTACATTAATTCCTATTTATAAAAATAAAGGAGATATTCAGAATTGTACTAACTATAGAGGGATTAAACTCATGAGCCACACAATGAAATTGTGGGAGAAAGTAATTGAGCACAGGTTGAGATTGGAGACAAGTATTTCTGAGAATCAATTTGGTTTTATGCCAGGTAGATCAACTACAGAGGCGATTTATCTACTAAGGGGATTAATGGAAAAGTATCGTTGTAAAGATAAAGATCTACACATGGTTTTTATTGATTTGGAAAAAGCTTATGACCGTATACCAAGAGAAGTGCTTTGGAAAGCGTTGGAAAAAAAGGAAGTACGGATTGCTTATATTAAAGCCATACAAGATATGTATGAGGGGGTAAAAACTAGTATAAGAACACCTAGTGGTCAAACAAAGGATTTTCCTATAAAGATTGGACTACATCAGGGATCATCTCTGAGTCCTTATTTGTTCAACTTGATTTTAAATGTTTTGACGGAACATATTCAAGAAGAAATCCCGAAATGTATGCTTCTCGCGGATGATATAGTTTTTATAGCAGAGACAAGAGAAGAGGTTAATTGTAAACTTGAATTATGGAGAGGACATTGGAGTCGAAAGGTTTTCGTCTGAGTAGAAGTAAGACGGAATATTTATATTGTAAATTTGGTAAAGGAATATTCGACAATAATTTGGAAGTGAAATTGGGAGATCAAATTATACCTCAAGTGGAAAAGTTTAGATATTTGGGAGCCATTATTCAAAATGATGGCGAAATCAGTGGAGATATTTTACATAGAATTCAAGCTGGGTGGTTTAATTGGAGAAAAACTAAAGGAGTTATTTGTGACCGTAAGGTGCCTAATAAACTTAAAGGAAAGTTTTATCGCACTGCTATCAGACCGGCAATGTTATATAGTAGTGAATGCTGGGCTCTAACGGGACAGCAAGAGCATAAAGTTGGAGTAGCAGAGATGAGAATGTTACGATGGATGTGCGGACATACACGTAAAGATAAAATTCGAAATGAGCACGTACGCGAAAAAGTGAGGGTGGCACCTATTGAGGAAAAGATGGTAGAAAATCGGTTGAGATGGTTTGGGCATGTACAAAGAAGACTAAGGGAGGCACCAGTGAGAAGAGTGGAACATATAACTTTGAGTCCGATTAAGAGAGGTAGAGGAAGGCCTAAGAGAACACTCTTGGAAGTTGTTGAACGCGATCTCTTAATTAATAATATTCCTAAAAGTTTGATAAATGATAGAGCACAATGGCGTCTTGCAATCTATGTAGCCGACCCCACCTAGTGGGATAAAGGCTTGTTGTTGTTGTTGTTGTTGATGTAGAATATAACTCCTCTTCCGTTCCCTTTGATAACAAGTTTTTATTATCTGACTCTTCTGATTCAGCTAACTGCAAGTTTGCATCATTGGCCACAATTTCACATCGAGTCAGCCCAATTGAACAACATTTGTTTGACACCTCATGCCGATTGATTTTCATATCTGAATGTTCACCGACATCCATCTCATTTTCCATATCCTCATCTGATAAATTAGAAATTTCAAGCTGCTCTCCATTGCATTCCCCATGTTCATTTTGATCCCTTCCAGCATTTTCAACAGAAGAACACTCTGTTGCTTTGGTCCCCAGATCATTCTCCCTAGGACCATTTTGATATTGACTCTTTTTACAGTTATCATCTAAGGAAAGTTCCGCTGAGAAATCAGGAGTTGTTGTTGTCCTCTCAACATTCTTCTGATAAGAAACTAGCTGCTCTTTCTTGCTAGATGTATCCTCAGAAACAAGATCTGATGTGTTTCCAGGAGTTTTTACACTTCCATGTAAGCTGGACCCTGGGTTCACGTCCTTGCTTTTCCTTATTTTAGCTGTGAGTAGATCAGTAAGACGATTTCAATAGCAAGTTCAGAACAAGATGCATTCTAAATAAATTTCCTAATTTCTGAAGATGTATACAGAAACCCGCCAACAGAGATAAGTGCATCAGTAGCAAAGCAAAGGGATAAATCAAATCACAAAAATTAATCTGGTTTGAATAATTTTGCGAGAGAATACGACATTATTTAAAAGTTAGGATCAAATCAAGCACATTATCAAAGAACTTCACCTTGGAGAGTCGTGCCACATCCACCACACTTGTAAACATTATAATGCGGAAGCTCTGGAAGAAGTAGCCTGCACTTAGGACATCTAACTAGTCGAAGTTTAGTAGCCCATTCACCAGGCATCTTTCTTCAAATAAGTAATAACTTATGGTCCGAAGGTCGTCTTTTGAAATTTTGCCCAAAAGCATATGTCAAGCTCACATACCAAATGCATCAACTGAACAGCGTTCTTTGGTTGAACCTAACGAAAGATCTCCCCCGTCTATCTCCCCTGTCTAACTGTCTGCATCGGACAGTAATAAGTTTGGCTTGGATTCTAATAAACTATTTCTTAGCTAGAATCGACAGAAGTCACATTGGTGTAAATGGAGATGTATTGAAAGAACAGCAAGATGCTAGTAAAGCAAAAGAGTACAAGTCTTTCGTGTATATTGATGAGTCTAGAAACAGCCCATTATCTATCGGCGTACATGCCAGTACATATGGAGGTTGCATATTCCATCGACAACAGAACAAGATAAATCACAGTGAAACATTCAAAAAGCCATAGCTAAGCTGGGAAATGTCATGGACAAAAGTGGGGGGAGGGGAGCAAATTTAACGTTAACCATCATTATTATATTCCAATCTTTGTCAATGACAGGCAGAATTATATGGTCCAACAAAAAATGATGCCGTATCGTCGAGAACAAGAAGTCTACAAGACGGGCACTTTGTGATATTCACGTTTTCGATACTTGAAAATTTTTATCAAAGTTCAAACAGTTGAAATCGTGGTTTTCTTTTCTTTTCTTTTCTTTTTTTTTTTTTGGTTGACTTGTCCAGCCAATAAAACTAAATCACTAAATATCAGTAGAATATATATGATGAAAAACCAGAAAACTATCTTTGATAGCATGTGCAAGTTATCTGATCACAGTTACCTTAAAAGTCTGGTCAGATCGAATCATATTTATAGCTCCCAGCAACCGAGAAAATTGCAGTTTGTTTGTAAATAGGTACTCGGGAAAGAAGAGAAGACAGGATGAAACAATAACGGGGAAAAACAAAGATCACTATAGGGAGACTAAAACATTTGAGTAAAAGAAACACAACGATGTAGCATGAGGAATATAAAGACGACAGAAGAGAAGGAAAATCTCAGAAATCGAACGGAAGGAAAGAAGAATGGGTGAAGAATGAGGTGCAGTGTATTGACTGATGATAAAGGTGAGGGGGGACCAAAAGAAGGAAGCCGTGAGGAAAGAAGAGAGACTGGATGAGAGAAATCTTTTCTTTGCCGCAAAGTTTAGGAGCAGAGAGGGACAGATGGACAGAGGGACAGTTGGAAAGAATCATCAACATCACCGCCATGATCATCATCAACGTGATCATCATGTTCTTGTTCCTTGGAATGATATGATAAGACATAAGAGAAGAGCTAAGCAAGAGAAACCTAAACCCAGAAAAACGACGTATTGCGATTCTTCTCAGAAATGGTTGTTTGTGGTGAATCACCACACCACCGACACTCGCGCGTGGGCATAAATTCAGTCCTCCCTTTCACTGCCGTGGGTGTTTTCTAGCACTGCCGAATGGTCCAAGGGTTTTAAAGCTCAAGGGCGCGACCGTTGATGAGGTGGCACCACGTGGGTCCAATTTATTAAATTATTGATAAAATCAACCTCAATAAGAAAATAAATCAATCAAGGACCGGGAGAAAATTTATATCCATCAATAATTATTTATCATTAAAATTTAAATAAATATTTATTAATTTAAATTAGTTTTCTATTAATAAGTATTATTTAAGTTTTAATAATAATTTATTTTAACTTGATAATAGTCCATTCAAATTTTTTTATAAAAATTTTAATAATAATTAATTATTAATTGATATAAATTTTTTTTAATGATCCTTTATCGTCATTTTCCCTCCTCATTAAATCCACCTAATTCTTTTCAGAAAAATAGTAGTGAATAGATCAATGAATGTTGGACATTCAAAGTGTTGTTGTATAGCAATTGTTGAATCCTGGTATATTTCCACCACTTTTTTAAGAAATAAAAAATAAAGAACGCTTAAATAAAGAGAAATATACTTGATAATATTTTTTAAAAAAATAAGCAGTATTATTCATAACAATAAATAATATAGCTTATTAGAAGGCTTATATTTATAAATAGATGAGTCATAATATTTTTTATTTATGTCCACATAGTGATCACCATTTATATATTTCTATTCAAGAACTCATTATATTATGTACTCTCTTTAATCTTATTTATATAGTAAAGAAAAAAAAATTATCTTATTTTTAAGTTATCTTAATTAAATTTTTTACACAAATTTTTTCTTCTATCTTTCATTAAATGTTAGAAAAAAAATATTATTAAAATATATATATTTATAAAAATAAATTTAAAAAATTATTAAATTTTAAAATAGAATTAATAAATTTTAAATTTTTTTTAATTTTAATAAAATATATTAAAAATAATTTATAAATAAGATAAGAGGATTATAAATTTGGATAAATAAAACTTAATTTTCTTACTACCTCATTACCTATAGCTATAGGATATCCAAGCTAGCATTACTTAAAGTTAAAGGACACTTCAATTTATATTTTTTTTTATCATTTCCAGAAAAAGGATACTCCAATCAAACGAGTTGGCGGGCGACGGGATTATTCATAATAAAGCAAAGAAAGAAAAAGAGACTCAAAACTTGGCAGTGCCGATGATTATGGATTTAAGGGAATCTCCATTGTGGTTTCAACGACGCACGGATTCTGCTTTGCAATCTAAGTTAGATCCTTATCACGGTCTTAAAACTTCCCAATTCTTAAACTATACCAATTTCAACGTGATCAATTTTTTAATTTTTATTAAGTCAGTCAAACTCTTAAAATAAAAAAAAATTAAAAATTTGAATATAAAAAGAAGGAAGCTTGGATGAAAAAACTTGAAAGCTTTATTGATTTGTTTGTTTTTTTGTTTTGCTTGTTGTTTAAAATAAGAGTTTATGGAGGTATTTATAGGCCTCCTCCTTTCTCTAAAAAATTTTCACCTCTTTAATAGACGGTGGAGATTAATTTAATCTTATAATTTACATTCATACTTTAGAGTGTTCCATAAAAATATCTACAATAAATATCTAGATATTTATAAAGATATTTTTAGAGAATAATCTTTAAGATATGTGTGAAATATTCTAGAATATCCTAAAATATTTTAGACATCTCTACATTACTCCATAAGTTTCTAAAATCTTCTAAAAACTTTTAGATCTTTTTAAATTTCTCTAGATAATTCTAAATTGTTCTAGACGCTTCTAGAATATACTGGATCCTCCTTGAAAGCTCTGGAATTCTCTCCGTTATTCTAGAGGTCTCTAAAAATTCTACAACCTTTCAGATTTTTTTTATATTTGAACATAAATTGTGACATTCTCCCCTACCCAATCCAGTGATGCCCTCGTCACTAACTTGATTCATGTGTACTTGGGATCCCTCTTGGAAAGATCCTTCTTCTTCTTGGCTTTCTTATGATTCATCTCCCCATGAGATGAGATCATTCTTGGCTTTCTTGACATGCTATCCTCCTTTAGTACTCGTATGGTTGATAATCGTGAAAATCCACCCCTTGAAGTGGGTATCATGCAAGCAACTCCTCCTTTAAGGATGCAAAATATATTATGATATGACATGATAAAGGCTTTTACCTTTCGCATGAACTCTAAAACAAGCACCACTTTGTTGTCGTCTATACGTGCAATTGAGAAATCTACCTTTCTAGGCCAACCCTAAGACATAGCTCAACCCCTCAAGCAATGCCAACTAAGGGTTGAGGAGGAGAATTAGAAATTTTTAGTAAACCTCCCCTTTTTTCAACTCTAAGACCTACCCTCTTGGCCTTTTTTGGAGAAATGAAATTGTGGTTTGCCCCAGTATCCACCATGATGCTAATAGGTTTCCCATTTAACTTAGCATTCACATGTATTAATTCACTTCCTTGTGAATGTTGGACTTTAGAAGTGTTGAGGAGTTGAATTGATCCTATCCTAAAATTTTTCTCCTCCTCTTGCGCTTCTTGCCTTTGCACCAGAGCAGATAATGACCCCAACTTTGGGCAATCTTTCATCTAATGAGGTCCTTGACATATAAAGTAGTGAAGTTCCCTCTTCTCCTTCTGCTTTGTCTAGGATCCCTTCCCAGTGTCTCCCTTGTTATCACTTTCTCTTTAAGGTTTGTTCCTTTATTGTTTCCTTCCCTACCATTCTTAATATTAGAGTTAGGAAATCTATTTTTAAGAGACTCACCTCTTTCCCTCTAAAGCTCTGCGAGACTTTCAGCGACTACTATGACTTCATCAATAGTCTTGACACATAGCTGTTGCAACTCATGCTTTGCCCAATTTTGAAGAGCATCAATGAAGTAGAAGAGACCCTCTTCATTGCTCAGATTTAGAATATGAAGAGTTAAAGAGGTGAATTCCTGCACATAGTTTGAGATAGTAGTCTTATGTTTAAGCTCCCTCAACTTCTTGCGAGCTACATAAACCACGTTCTCTGGATAAAATTGTCTTTTCAACTCCTTTTTAAAATCTTCTTAGGTATTGATTGTGCAAAGCCCTTTATCTATATCTGCATGCTTCCTTCACCACATAGCATGGCATTATCTGTAAGGAAGCAAGCAACAGTGTGTACCTTAGTTTGATTGTCTGTTATCCTTAAGGTGTTGGCATAGCATTTCATCTGCCATAAGAAGTTCTCCATTTCTTGGGCATCTCATACACATTTAAACTCCTTTAGTTTAGGAAGATCCATACTTACTTCCCTTATTCTACTATTTTTATCCAATATTGGATTCCTTCCTTTTACCTCTAAGGAAGTCTTGAGAGTGTTGAGTTACTGTTGCATTGCGGTGATAACCTTCATTACCTTTGCCTCTAAGGATCTCATCGCCTCCTTGCATTGATTCTCATTGTTTTGCAAAGCATCCACACTACTTTTTACCCCTTCAAGTTCTTTAAGAGTGCATGTGGTCCTCCAACATACTTATATCACTTTCAATCTTCTCAACCTTACCAACCATCTTTTCCATGGTTCTTTCTAAGGCATCAATTTTAATCGCCAAAATAGCAAGGTCCTCGGAACGTACTTTACTAGTCCCTCGTGCCTTCTTACCACCATAATGTGAAGGTTGAGATTTCATTCCTTTCTCTTTAATGTGAGCAAGAGTCTTCTCAGTTACACCCGACATCCTCGCTTACAAGTATGAATACAAATCACAACTCTCTCGAACCTTGGCTACAATACCACGTTATCATGGCCTTAGAACTCCCCAGTCCTTGAACTGTGCCGACCTTAGCGTGATCAACCTCTTGATCTTTGCTAAGTCAGCCGAACTCTCAGAATGTAGACAAAGAAACTAAAAAATTTGAACACAAGAGAGAATAGAGTTTGGATGAGAGAACTTGAAAGCTTTATTGATATGCTTGCTTTTCTTGCTTTGCTTGTTGTTTAAAAATGAGAGTTGTGAGGGTATTCATAGGCCTCCTCCTTTCTTTAAAAAATTCCCACCTCCTTAATGGACAGTAGAGATCAATTTAATCCTACGATTTACATTTATCCTCTAGAGTGTTTCATAAAAATATCTACAATAAATATCTAGATATTTATAAGGATATTTCTAGAGAATAACTTTCAAGATGTGTGGAATATTCTAGAACATCTTAGAATATTTTAGAATATTCTAGATATCTCCACATTCCTCCATAAGTTTCTGAAACTTTCTAGAAACTTTTAGATCTTTCTAAATTTCTCTAGATAATTTTAGATTATTCTAGATGCTTCTAGAACATACTGGATCCTTCTTGAAAACTCTGAAATTCTCTCCGTTATCCTGAAAGTCTCTAAAAATTCTATAACCTTCTAGGTTCTCTTATATCTGAACATAGATTGTGATAGCCTGCTTCTCCTTTCTAGTTTGTGTTTTTTTTCTCACTTTTTTTTTTTGCTTTCCCACTCGGTATCTTAAAGAGTTTGGATCTACTCAAGACTAATTCGGATCTTAACTTAGGTGGGGCTCTCTTTGAAAGGATTTCACAGGTACCACTGGTGAGATATACTTTACATGATCAGCTGCACTGCTGCATACTATATGACTCAAACTCAAGATCCCAAGTTAAATTGTCTAGATCCCTAACCATTAAGACAAACACCCATTGGTCCTTTCTAGTTTATTTTTTTCCGGCAAAATTCTCCTTTCCTTTCCCAATCCTTTAAGGCCTCCTTCAAAAGGCCCAAGCCCCAGGCAATACAAAATACAAACTAAAAAAAAAATTACCGTATGTTAAACTGGAAACTCCCACATTAAATTTTGATTTGAAGCTTTTTTTTTTGGGGGGGGGGTCAAATTTGTACATGAGCTCCACTTAAGGACTCATGCTCCGCGAATGAAGATGACTTCTGATAGAACAAGTAAGAATACAATAATTATTCTCATTTACCGAATTATTTTTTCTTCTACGCATCAGAATCAGCGAGTTGAATTTTCGAGCTTAAACAAATTGGTTTACAATTTTATAATATAAAACCTTAAAGAGTAATTTTTTAGGAATTGGTATTAATATATCGTGGCCGTATCAAAGTGGCAATTATTTGGTTGTAACATTTTAAACTCAATTTGGTCAAAGAGAGTAAAATTTTCATGAACAAAACTTGGGCAAAATATTTATAAAACAAAAAAGAGGACACAAGCATGCGGGCATATCATGTCCTGCTTTGTCACGTCGTCAGTCAGTATCATAGCATTTGTCGCCTCACCTATAAATTTCTCCCCTTTCCCTTCATCTTCGGAATTAAAATAGTAAATGGAGTTGGGGGATTTTCAATTCATGATGTTGGCGTTACTGTTAGTAGCTTACTGGTCCCCAAGTATTATTTGAGGAAAATTGATCCCAAAGCTAGATTCGAATCCATATAAAACTAAACACAAACCCCTGAAACAGTAACAAGTGTTTGATCTACTACTAGTTTTTATAGGAGAGGAAACAAGACACCATTATGTGATGTCGGGCTCCCATTGACACGTAAAAAGCTTCAGCATCTACGAGACGAGTGAAAATGATGACACACCATAACTAATTGTGACTTAGGAAGAGGCTACAACAGCACGACGCTTGTGTCCGACAAATGCTTGGAGAAGTTCCTGATATCCGCTCCTATAGTGGTCGAGCGAAAAGCAAAGTTGCCGTATTGCCTCCCTCTTTTCCTCCGCCCTATCTGAGATCTCAGCGTTTTGCCCAGCCACCTCTTTTTCCAGCTCTTCCACTTTCAGTCTCAACTCATTTACTTGATTCATTTTAATTTCAGATTCCGAACTCAACTCTGCCAGTTGCATGCGTAGCTGGCTTAGCTCTCTCTCCTTATTTTCAATCTGATTGTCTCGGTAGCTCAGCTCTGCCTCAAGTTTATGGATCATAGCATTGGCCTCATCTTTTTCCGTCATGAGCATGTCATGCTTATGTTTTTGCCCGTCGAATTCCTTATTCAAAGTTTCTATATTATATCTCTTCTGACCTAGTTCTTCCTTCAAACGAGCGACTTCACCTTCCAATATCAGCTGACGTGCAGCATACATCTCTTTCAGTTTCAATTTTTCAGCTTCACACTCCTCCAATTTATTTTCTACAATATTGCTTCTTGATTCCAATTCCCTGAGTCTATAGTCCATCTGTAGCTTTTCTTCTGACAAAATTGCTATATCAGACTGCAGCTGATTTTTCTCTAGAGAGATCTGCTCCCGGGCATTTAGCATTTCAGCCTTCAACTTCTGCATCTCGAGTTCATGTTTAGTTTCATTAGTTTTGTGCCATATAATTCTGTCTTCTAGCTCTTGAATTCTCTTTCTCCCGGAATCAAGCTGGGCTTCTAATGTGGCTATATTTTCCTGTGCTGCTTCAAGCCGACCTTTCAAGTCTAGAGTACCGTTACATAACCTTGTAGCCTCATCATTTGATGCTTTGAGCTGTTCTCCAGCTACCTCCAACTCTTCCACCAATTTTGCTATCTTGTTGCAACAGTCTGGAACATGGGTTTCCAAATTATCTTTTTGTTTCCGCAACTCTATTACCTGTGCCCTTTCATATTCAAGGTCAGCCTCCCTCATTTTCAATTCATTCTGAACATGATCAAGCTGATCCTTGTGCTTCTCAATCTGACTCTTTAAATTGATAATCTCCTTTTCTGAGATATGAATTTTCAAGTTTGAAATTCTCAGCTCCTCCGCACTTTTAATAAATTTTCTAAGTAACTCTTCATAGCTCATATTCTCTATCGCCTGCAATATATCATGGTCCATGTGATTCTGTTGTTCTAGACCATGAAATTCTTCTTTCAGATTAGTCTCTTTGGTTAGTTCCATTCCTTCAGATTCTGAGGATAACGATGAGGATGATAAGGATGGGGATCCAGAGGCCTCCTTCTGAGAAGTCAGAGTGTTATTGCCTCCAGAGCTTAGAGACAAGTCTATGTTAACTGGTTGAAGGCCAGATGTCTGCAATCCCGGCTGTTGATATGGAGTATAATATGGAGTCGTCACCTGAGTCCCTTGGTCACGAATTGATTCGGAACTGTCAGAGCCTTCCATCTCAAAATCTGATGGTTATGTCTTTGATAAGAACCTTACACTAAAATAACAATTTGAAAAGAGTGCAAGTCCAGTGGCCTTTGTCCTTTTAACAAATAGACATAAAAGAGTTGAGAAGATAACCAATTCCCAAGTTCTAAAGGATTATAATACCCACTATATGCTATGATATACTCCCTCCATATAAAATGCTTTCTAGAAACTTATTTTGCCTCTAAATATAAGAGTTATCTTGATATTTTTAAATAATTAAACAATTTCGCCCTAGTCATGGAAAATGGAGGAAATAGCAATTGTATGTTGTACCCACTACCAACATGATATTAATTGTAACGTTATTAAGGCAAAACTGAAAAAATCATTGTGATTTTATATAATTTCAACTAAATAACAATTTTTTATGTGTATGCAAGATTCGGTTAAAAACATCTTATACCCTATATATATAAGGATGGAAGGAGTAGTTAACAAAATTAACAAGGAGAAAAACAAACAATTAACTAACAAAATTACACTAGAAAAATAAGGTTATTATGTTTTGCAGTTAATACTTGAATAACCGAATGAACAGTACAAAAGGAACAGTACTGATCCTGGCCAAAACCCTATACATAAAGATAATAGAGGATAAAAGGACAAGTGAACAGAACAAGCAAAAAAAGACCCTCCCTCACAATTCGCTAATCAAAACAAAAACCTGAGAGCACCCCAAAGCCAGATACAAAATATTAATACTAGCCAAAACTGACCCACGTATCTATTCTGAGTCTCTTCTACTCCTCATAACCTGGACGGATAATAACCTGAACCTGTAGTATCTTCATGCTCTAACACTTGTTTCTCCCTTGCTTTCTTTCCTCTCATATGTCTGAGTAAAACCAACAGCTATATCAACTTCACATCACAACTATATCTAATCTAACTGTGGACAGTAAAACTTATGACCATTAAATTTCATCATATGCTATATAATCTTCCTTTCATAAATCACGCCTATATGGAACACAAAATTCTATCAATTTCCCTTTTTAACACTCTTTTTAAGTAAAAAGAAAAATACTGAAGCCAAGCTTTAAGGGAACGATAAAAACTTAAATTGAGTTCAAGCTCAACTGTTTGTTGAAAGTGGCCTTGCCCCTTGCCAGCAGGAAGGGTTTACGCAACAATTCCTGCCCGGCGTGCCCACCCTCTCTTGGCAGGGCACATCCCCCACATACTCTTCCCCTTGGTCTTAACCGCTCCATCTTAAAACATGTCAATATATACCACTGTGGCCTACTCACCCTTAAATAGACGTTAGACTTTGATGTATGTTGGTTTGAAGCTGAAATGACCGTGATTACGACGACCTTAAACGGCATACTATACTTGAGTATTTTAGTATCATCAAACAAAGCAATCATCGATGAAAGTCGAAGAATTAGGATTAAATACACCACCAGTGCAAAACAGGAAGCAGTGTTGATAACGTCATTTCCCACGATACAGCGACCATGTGACAGATCTACAGCTATTGTGTCTTAAAATAGTGAAATGTACAAGTGAACCATGCAAGAGGGAAAAACTCGCCGACTTTGCAGTATGAATAATGAAGAAAAGCTCGAAGTCGGGGTTATGTAAAAGAAAATCCACACGAAAAAATTATGGAGTTGATTAAAGAACCTGCAGTAGCTCTGAGCTTCTACCGCCGATGGCAAAACCGATTCTGAGTATCAAATGAAGCTTGGAGATTGGGGCCCAAGGAACGAATAGAAAGCGTGATATTTTTCTGGGGATGAGCTAAAAAGGATTAGAAGGAGGAGGCAGGGTGGAGCTAGAATTAAGCAAAAAGCGAAGTGGGGTGTCTTTAAAACACAGCCAAAAGGAAAATGCTGGGTGTCACGAAGCCCGCGTTTTCTACTTTTCTCCCATAAATTCTTTTATGTTCCTGAAATGCCCTTCTCTTTTCTTTATTTCCAATAAACAGGCCCTTTGTCTTTTCTTTTAACGACGCTACGATAAGGTACACAGTGCTCGAGGTTTCCGCCTTGAAAATTTCCCATTAGGCGCTTCCTGAATATATATCCAGTCAAGGCTGGCTTCTTCTTCTTCTTCTTCTTTTCCCAGAGGAAATGAAAGGCAATTTAACTGCAATACTACCAACAAGAAAAAAAATATTTTTCCAAAAGTGTTTTTCATATACCATAGATTTAGATATCAGTTTGATGCAATCCGAGTTTTAAATTTTTTTTAACATAAAAGTATGAAATTCAGTTTCAATCGGATGAAATTTTATCCTTTAATAACAAAAAATTGATATAACAAGCTGCCAACTTTCTCTCTCCTTTTTTTAAATAATTATTCATTTCTCCTTATTTTTTATTTATTACTTAATATCTTAAAAAATTCTTTATTTGAATAGTTTAAAAAATTTAAAATGAAAAAAAAATAAGTTGATATTTGAAACAAAGATAAAAAATTGAAAGTGATGTGTTAGCTTCTATTTTTTTAATTGATGTGAAACAAGAACAGGAATGAGGGATAAGAAAATATAGAAACATCAATAATAAAAATGCAAGAAATTTAGATTAATGAGTTTATACAAGCATGTTTGTTTGAGTCAATGAAAATTTGGATTGAATCAAATCTCTTTTTTTGGCACACAAAAATTTAAGTACCAAATCAAAATTTATCTATTTCTTATTACACTTTTTTGTAATTTTAAATTTCTTTTATATCATAATCAATTTAAAATTTCAGTTATTTCAAATATTTCATTCTCATATTTTTATTATTGATAACTTCATGTCTTTTCATCTTTTGTTCTTATTTCTCATCAATTAAAAAAAATACAAGTTACTCCCTTCATTAAAAAATATAAAACATTTTTAACCGAATCTTACATCAATAAAGTAACTACCTACTTTCAAACTAACTATATCTTTTTATATTTACTCACATTAAATATAAAATTATTCATTAATAGGAACATATTTGAAAAAAGACAATAATTGCACCTCAGAAACTAAAAATGTTTTACATTTTTTAACATTCAACTCTTTAAAAAATAATTTATATTTTTTAACAGAGGGATTAACACATTACGTTCAATTTTTATTTTTGTTTCAAATATCAAATAATCTCCCTTTTTTAGTTGAAACTTTTTAAATTACTCAAATAAAAAATTTAAAACACATAAATTTTAAATTTCAAATTTAAAATGTGATATTTTAAATATAAAATTCATATTCAAATTTGCATAGATAACAATCACCCATGGGGGGAGTTCGCATTAGTGTGAGCTGAATATGATAATACCTTTAAATTTTTTAAGATATCAAATAATAGAATAAAAAATAAAAAAAAAGATAACTATTCGCGTGAAGGAGAAATGAGGGAGAAAGCTGTTAAATTGTCACTTCAATTTTTTTAAGGACAAGCATAACTTTAAATCTCTATACTTTATTTAAATTTTACTATAAATTTTTATACTTTTATTTTTTTTAGTATTATAAGTCTCTCATAGCAATAGGGACCTAAAATACTAAAAAAATATAAGATCTTAAATACAAAATATAAGAATTTAAAGTTATAATTTCACTTTCTTTTTAATAAAGTATAAAACTCGGTTTAATTGAGTTCCATACTTTCATGTTAAAAGAAAATTTGGATCTAGGTTTGTATCGAGCTGATCTTCAAATTCATAGTATATGAGAGAATACTTTTGAAAGTGGAACATATGAGTAAATAATTTTTTTTAATAATATTGCAGTCAAATTGCTTGAAATCAGATGCAAGGCTAGCTTTTAATTATGGCAAAAAAAAAGGTTGCCTTTTAATTCTAGTATTTTTTTAAAAAAATTTAACCTTTTAAAAAATAAAAATTAAACAACCATAACAACTGCATTTAAAAAAAATAAAAACTTGCTTGTAAATTGTTTGTAACTATCCATTTAATATTACAAGAAACTTTTTTAAATATCTTATTAAAAATATCAGAATTTAGGTCTTTTCAAGTTAATTAATAAGATTTTTTTAATTAATATGTTTTATTTAATAAAAATAAATATAAAAAGGTGTGTAATTTTAAAAATAATTATTTAATTTATTAAGATTTATAACCCCCGCCTTAAAACTGGAGGGAGGGAGTACACGTTTAAATTTGTAGATATTCTCTATTCAATTTACAGAAAGAATCGATGAGGCCAGAGATGATTTTACTCCTTTTTTCTTTCTTTTCTTTTCTTTTCTTTTGTTTTTTGTTGTTGTTGTCCAGCCGGCGATGATTTTGCTTCAGGCACCACATTCTCGACTCTCGAGTGTCAACTCCAGCGCGCAATCACGTGCCAACGATAAATCCCACCAGTCATTCAGTCAAGAACTCGCATCTCATAAAAAAATTGATTTTTTGTTGTATTTATTGATCATGGATGCAATGCAAGAAAAATACGTCGATGCAGTAATTAAAATTTATTATTTGACCGAAAGAACAAATTCGAGATACTAGTAAAATTCGAAAACAACGCAGAGTCTCAAGTAAAAATATTGCTACTCCCTCCCCCTTAAATTTTAAAATATTTTTAGGTGAGATTCAAAGTTCAAAATATGAAGCACTTTAAAAAAAATTATTTATTTATTAAATATATTTATTCTAATAATATTTTCTCTCTCCATTTAATTTTCATTCCCCTCTCTTTTTAGTATTTCAAAAGAAAGATTTTTTTTAAGTTTATTTTTTATTTTTTAAAAATAATATTGTTAAGTAAGGTTGTTAAACTCGCAAGTTTAAATAAATTCATTATAAGAATATAAATTTAGATTGCAAACTCAAATTGTGAAAGTTTATCTCTATTAATAAATAATGATTAAATATTTATTATTAAATATTTAAAATATAAAATATAACCATTGTTTGATTTAAATATATTTAAAATATAAATTATTAAAATTAAATACATCTATATTGATAAATCATTATATGAAAATAGAAATTTTTAAACAAGGAAACTCATTCTTGGTATTTTTGTTTTTTATTAATATTAGGTTTTTGCTTTTTCAATTTTTTTTCTTTTGAACGAGATTCTGTAATTTTTATGAACTGAATTTTTTATGATATATATTCAACTCTCTCAACTTAAAAAAAATCAATGAGTTTAACAAGTTTAACAAGTTTACATCTAATTTAAGTATATAAATTAATTGATATGATTTTATAAGTTAAAAATATAAAAACAATAAATTTAAAAGTAAATTCATGAGTTTAACTAAATTTATATTTAATCAGAGTTTACGTGTAAGTTGACACGATTTTGTAATTTAAAAATGTAAAAATATTAAACTCAAAAAGTTAATTTGAAAGTTTAACAACTATGTTATTGAGTGTATTTAATAAACTTTTTTTAAACAAAGTAGTTAATAAGATTTATTGGTATATAAGATTTTATCTTAAAATGTTTCATAATTTAAAGAGAAGGGAGTAGAGTATCCATATATTATTAGTTATCTAATTTTCGTATATCACATAAAATTACTTAAAATTTACTTCATTAATTTAAAAATATGAGATATTTTTAATCTTTTAAAGTATAATTATTGTCCTTTTTTTAAAGTACATCTATTAAATAAATTACTTTATATTATTTTAATGTGAAACATCCTATTAAATGGGGGTAAATATGAAAAGATAGTGTTAACTTGAAGACAAGTAATTATTTTTGTAGGTGTGAGATTTGATTAAAAATATCTTATATTTTTTAACGGGGGGAGTATGCATTTATCATAAACATTCCTCCAGTTTCAAAAATCAATTATTAATTTAAATTTTTGATATATTTTTCCAGACAAAATTTTTTTTGACTCTCTTAAATAATTACTCCCTCCGGTCTCATTTATAAGTCCCATTTTAGAAAGTCTATTTGGTCCCATTTATAAGTCATGGTGCGTCTTTTTAGTGATATTTGAGAGGTATTTTCAAAATTACCCTTCATAAGAGAGAAAAGATAACAGGACATTACTTTTTAGATTTGTTATATAGGGGCATGTTTGGAATTTTACTTACTTTTATTCTTTGTACTTTTATTATATTGGTATTAATGAGGTTGGTAGAAATGACTTATAAATAGGATCAGAGGAGTATTGTTTTGAAATTTAATAAAAGATTAATTACTTCATGTTTTATCATTGTTAACGTTCAAAAATAAAAATAATGGCAGGTGTCTAGTAAATGGGGTCCTAATGCCATAACATTTTCTGTATTTAAAAAAAAAACGAATTCTTTTTTTTTTTTTTTTGAATTTAACGCGACCGTCAAAATTTGAATGGCGGTTGGATGAATGGTTTTTTGGTTGAGGCTTTCCGCGTGAAGGAAGATGATGGGATTTCAGGGGTGTTATCGTAATTCTAACATGACAAACTAGAAATTAGATCCGAAGAGGTGGGCCATGGTGTAATTCCCGCGAAAACAAATGAAATTATGGCGGGAAAAGAAACAGGCCTCGATACTTCTTATCGTTGTTCGCCTGCTGGGTCCATTTCTTTTTCATTTTCTTTGGCGAGTTGGTGAGTCTTTATTTTGTCCGGAAAATACGACAAATTAAATTTCCAATTCCAAACTGGTTGATTTTATTTTGTCGCGTAACTATATGAATAGATAATTTTTATGATTATTTTATGATCCTTGAAATAATTTGAACTTCACCCTCAATTGGAAATCCAACGCTGCGCAATTTTGTCGTTTTTTTTTTTTCAAAAGAAATTGTCCAATATCCATTGCATATATATAGGCCAGCGGATATAACAATCTCCCTCTCTCTCTCCCCCCGATCTTCTTCTTGTTTTTTTTTTTTTCAGAAAAGGTGTTTGGGGGGAAGTGGG